ATGCATGGAGGGGATTGTAATAATTGCAATAAAGGGAAATAAAATAGGATGAGTGCAAAGCTGATGTTCTCCTATGTAAACTATCACTCAATTCACAATAAAAACTTTTTTTTAAAAAAAGAGAAAGGAAACCAAAACTGACCCAATTTTTTAAAAGTTGAGTGATCCAGAAAGTTAACTGGAACAGGAAGAATTACAGATTGTAGCACTGGAATGGGAGACTCAGGAGAAGCCTAGTGAAGCCTTCCAGGAGCCTGATGCACAACACAGGGTTACTGCCAGAACCTTGAAGGATGCATTCAGAGTGGCTCAGTTGGCTGCCATCTTTGAGCTGGGCACCACTGTTTTCAGCTCATCCAGTCAAGGGATTTGGTTGTCATTCAGCTTGTGTGCTGCCCTTGTTTTCTAAGAGATTAAATTTCTAGCAGGCCTGTAACCCTTAATTTTTCTTGTTCTGGTTAGTGTTCCAGTTCAGCCACATTTGAAAAATGCAGATCCATTTCAGTGTCCTTCATCAACCATAACTGAACCAGGCTAAACCAGTTCAAAGTCCTGGTTCTAGGGCAACATTTATACCCTGTTAGGCACTGATGGGTATTTTGTAAGATTATATTCCCTAAGATCTTGAATGAGTAATACCAAAATAAATATTAAATATTTTATTTAAAATCATTTCACATGTGTAGTATGGAAAATATGATAGTATCCTGGACTTAGAGGGCTTGAGAAGTTTCTTTAAATAATAAAATAATTGTTTTCTTTTTCTCCCACAGGTTCGACCCAAACCTGTGGCCCAGAATAACATTCCTATTGCCCCAGCACCTCCTCCTATGCTTGCAGCTCCTCAACTTATCCAGAGACCCGTCATGCTGACCAAGTTCACCCCCACTACCCTCCCCACTTCCCAGAATTCCATCCACCCTGTCCGTGTCGTCAATGGGCAGACTGCAACCATAGCCAAGACGTTCCCCATGGCCCAGCTCACCAGCATTGTGATAGCTACTCCAGGGACCAGACTCGCTGGACCTCAAACTGTACAGCTTAGCAAGCCAAGCCTTGAAAAACAGGTACAGGCAAAATATGTACCTGCTTTTGGTAGTTAGGCAGTAGGATTGCTATTGAGGCATATGGCAACTGGGCTGTCTTGGAAAACATCTTTACAAGGGCTCTTAATCTCAGCACCATTGTTGATAAACCTGTTGCTTATCAAATGATAATGTGTCCATAGTGCAAAAGGGCAGTTCTTACTGAAGAAAGTTTCTTGGGTAGGCTTTTCCCACCATCCCCTTATAGATGGGTTCAGATTCCTGTGTGAGTGAGCTCCCCCTGCTGGTTCTGTAGCAGAAATTCACTGATGGACTTTGCTGCCCTTGGTCAGAAAGAACAGATGAGACAGTAAACAGAAAATATATTATTCCTTTCAGGTCCAATAGGAATCCAATGAGGATTATCCTCTATGAAAGTCAGGAAGAATAAACAGAACAGGGAAAGGAATTTTAGATTTTTTTCCTTAGGGAAGAGACTGACAAAAAGTAAAAATTTTTAAAGCTAAAATTAAACTCTAGAGCATGCAGACATTTTAGCTCAAATATTAAAATGTTTCATTCATATTTTCCAAAATCACATCGTTTCTTTAAAAAGTGAGGCTAGAGAAATATGTTGTTGTGAAGTGCCGTTGAGTCAGTTCCGACCCATAGCGACCCTGTATAGGGTTTCCAAGGAGCAGCTGGTAAGCTTGAACCGCCCACCTTGCAGTTCAAATGGCTTTGCAGTGTGGCGTATTAACCCACAGCGCCACACCAGCTCCTAGAGAAATATGTTACCTCAAAAAATGCATAAGGATCTGATGACAGAAAAACCTGTTAAAAAATAACAAAAAGGATTTATAGGCAGTCACTATATCCTATTTCAAGACAGACCACTGATCAGAAGGAAGTATTTTGCAAAGAAAAGTGCCCTCTTTCAGGAAAGTTGCTTTAAAAAGTCATTGACCTATTTCTAATGGCTCAGACTTAAGTTCTCATTCGTCTGAAAATAGTCTCTGAAGATCCTGAATCTTCAGCTTCTGGATGGCTGACCATGATTCAGTGAGGCTGCCAGATGGTGGGGAGTGAAAAGACTTCCTGCTGCCTTGGCCTTGAACAGAGAAAAACCTCCTTACACGTACAGCACCAGGCAGTACACCTTGGCCTTGAACAGAGAAAAACCTCCTTACACGTACAGCACCAGGCAGTACACCTTGGCCTTGAACAGAGAAAAACCTCCTTACACATACAGCACCAGGCAGTACACCTTGGCCTTGAGGAAGCTGGGTACCTTAACCTTGTGTTCAGTTAACACATTTGGAAAGCAAAAAAACCCCAAATCAGACCGCATATATTATTTAATAATTTGCTTTTCCCACTGAAGAGAGCTTGGGACAGCTTTCTTTGTCACTGCCTTACATGTTTATAGAGTTTTTGTTTCAGTTGTAACATCACAAAATGATAACCTATGAATTCTAAAGAACTTTCTTTAAAATTATTTTTAGCAATAAATTCTGTGGTCTCTCTCTTCTTGTCAGTCTAATAGAGGGACCCAGTTGTTGCTGCTTTTCCTTTTTCAGGCCCTGTAGTCTAATAGATTACAAATCTCGGCCAGCAGGGGGTTCCCTTTAGACTAGACTCCAGTCTCAAAATTCTTTTACTTAAGATCTTTGTACTATTTTATATTTCATTTCCAGTATCACACTTAAAGAGTCCTGGTGTGGTACTGTAGGATAAGCACTGGACTGCCAGCTGCAAGGTCGGCAGTTCAAACCCACCAATTACTTCATGGAAACCCTATCCAAGGCCACTGAGTTAGAACCAACTTGACGGCACTTTAACAAAAACAAAAACTACATTTATAGCTATCTAAAGACCTCAGAATTGAGCTAAGGTTGAATCAATGTAAATATTTAGCAAGGGGGATGTATTACCACCTTCTTAAAGAGTTAACAACATTTTAAAATATATACTCTGGTTAGGTAGGTTCCTTTCTGCTTTCTTCTGTTTCCTTTAGAATGATAACTTCATTCATTTACTAAAGCCATATTGATTCAGCCGCTATACCACATATGGTGTCTATATACAATGATGGATAAAGCAAACCCTAACCCCTCAGGGAGTTCGTTCTCTAGTGCATTTGGAACAGGCACTGAGGCTCTGCCTCCAGTCAAGAAAACGTGGCTTGTTATGTGGGCACATTGGCATAGGAAAAGGAGAAGACCATGTCAGAACAACCATGGTTCCACTGCTCCTTCCCGGAAGAGAACACCAGCTTCCTTGTCCGCCAGATTAAGAGATCCACTGTCTTAACCTAATAACATTAATGGAGCCACATTACACTGTGAATGTGAGAAAATGAGACAGAGTGTTGTAAAAAGCTTCAAGCCTAGAGACATAGTTTTTAAAAGCAGAGGAAGCTAGGCAAGCCTGTGTTGTAGCCCTTCTTTGTTTTCTATGTCCTCTCAGTCTATGAAACTAGCATGTCCTTGATGAAATGAGAGAAACTGTTTAAATCAGGACAGCGAACCAGTTCATTCCGCTTCTAGCCACTGCCAAGGATTCACTTTTTCCTTCACGTATATACTCAAATCAGTCTAGAGTTTAACAAGACCCCCAAGTGATTCTTATCCATTTTGTTAAAATGCAGATTCTTATTTCAGTATGTCTGATGGAAATGTAAATTCTCAACAGGGAATTGAACTGGAATAAACCAGTTCAAAGGCTTGGTTTAAAGTCAGTAGATTGTGCCTGACCCAGAGTTAGCACTCTGTTAGAATGTTTATTACTTCTTCACCCCACCCCATAAGAAAGACCCCTGTATATCTGTCCCCAAGGCTTTGGTGCTGTTGTCAGGTGCCGTCTAGTGGGTTCCAACTCATCGCCACCTTATGTACAACAGAGGCCCTACGCCATCCTCACAGGTGTTCCTCTGTGTGAGTGCATTGTTACAGCCAGTGTGTCAGCACATCTCGTTGAAGGTCTGAGGATCTTCCTCTTGTTTAGTGACCCCTCTGCTAAGCATAATGACCTTCTGCAGGGACAGATTCCTCCTGATAATATGTCCAAAGTATGTGAGACAAAGTCTCCCCATTCTCATGTATACAGAACAATTCTGCCTTCAGCAAATCAAGGTCTCAAAAGCTTTGCTTCATCCACGTCAAGGTTGATTCTATTTTGCAGAGGCAGCCCTTCCTGAGTTGTATTTGAGTGTTTTCTAACCTGAGAGATTTCATCTTCAGACGCAATTTCAGACAGTATTTTCACTGCTGTTCATAAGGTTTATGGTGACTACGTTCTCAGAAGTAGATTAACTCTTCCTTCTTCTTAGTCTGTCTTAGTTGGGAAGCTCTGCTGAAACTTGTCCACCATGGGTGTCCCTGCTGGTATTTGAAATATCGGTGGCATAGCTTCTAGCATCACAGCAACACACAAGCCACCATTCCCCAACAAACTGACAGGCAAGTGAGTGATGGGTCCCCAAGGATAAGCTACTGAAAAAAAAAATGCAAGGTTCTGTGGAGAAAATGTGCCAGATTGCCACCCAGCTCACCCCTTCATACAGATCTCTCATAGGAACCTACACAGAACCCTCTAAAAAGATAGCACATTTTGAACTATGAGAATATTAGCCAATATTTTGGCCCCAAATTTTCGTATTCCTCTTAGCGTACCTGAGCAAATGGTACCCGCCCCCCTCCCCTCCCTATTCTAATGCTGGTACTGTAGTTGGGAAAGCATATCCAAATGACCAAACAATGGGTGTTGCTTTGCCTTGAATCCAAATTCATTTGACCTTGGACATTGGTTTCTTTGCAAGTGCCTAACATTGATGAAAGGAGTCTGATGGTCCAGTGCTTAGTGGCTGCCAGAGACAAGGTTGTCAGTTTGAACCCACGGCCTACTCCACACGAGAAAGATGTGGCAAAGGAGCCTTGGTGCTTGGTGGTGCAGTGGTGAAAATGCTCAGCTGCTAACTGGAAGTTCAGTGGTTTGAATCCTCCGGCTGCTCCATGGGAGAAAGATGTGAATTTAAAATTCAGGCTATACATAGTTAACTTAGTCCTAAATTGTCCAAAGTTCTGAGATTCTATTTTTTATCACATCAAAATGCCAGAGGAATGACACGAACTATGCATTCAAATGGCCATGGTGCCAAGGAGGAAGCCAGCGCCCAGTGTCACCCACATGACTGTAGCCATGTTTCATTTGTTGTTTGGCGCTATGACTGTCTGTCTCGCCATGGGCCTCCTTCACCTTTGGCAACCCTTCGCCCTACCAACCATGGTGACATTTTTCTAGCAGTTGGTCTTTCCTGGTGTCCAAAGTAAGTGAGCCAAAGTCTCAGAATCTCATCTCTGAGGAACGTTCAGGTTGAATTTCTTTTAAGATTGATTTGTTTGTTGAGCATATTTAAAACTATTGATTTTAAGTCTTTGCAGAATAAATCTAGTGTGTGGTCTTCCTCAAGGTCAGTTTCTATCAGTTTATTTTTTTCTTATGAATAGACCGGACTTTCCTATTTTTTTGTCTTGACTTGTTATTTTTCTGTTAAAAACGAGATATTTTGAGTATTTAAGTGTGATAACTCTGGAAATCAAATTCTACTCCCCTCATGTGTTTTGCTATTGGTTGTTGAGGACTACAGCTTTCTAAACTTTTACCCCCCAAAATGTCGTGTGTCTTACTGAAGTGTCTGTTCTGTTATCTCAGTAGTCAGCCAATGACTTGATAGGTCTTTTCTTAAATGCCTCAGAGCCAAAAAGAAGAAAAAAATAAAATTTAAGAACAGTCACTTTTCCAGGATTTGCACAATGGCACCAAGCTGGGGTGCTTATAATATTAATCCTACTGCGGCCAACTCGGCCTTAGCCCTGCACAGCCCAAAGATCACTCAGGGGTACAAGCCTACAGGGTCCTTTAGGTCACTTCAGAGCATGCGTCTGGCCTTGGGCATATGTATTGCAGTCTACATTTCCACAATATAAATGAAAGCCCTTATTCTTCCTCCTCAGCCTCCTCTCTCCCAGGCTTTTGGATCTTTCTGATGATTACCCTGTCTGCTGTTCCTTGTCTTAAAAGTGGTTTTATCAGCTGCCACCTGGAAAACCACCTCAGTGCTACGGGGACAAAATAAAAGCCAACCTCTGCATTGGTCTCTCAGAGAGCCATCAGACAGGTCAGAACCTGCAGCCAGGGGTTTGTGAGTAAAAGGTCCAAATTGCCTCGCCTCATACCGCGTGCTCCACTAGGTATGTGGGCTGCCATCTTCAGGGCCTCTAGCAGTCTTGGGAATGGGGTCTGGTAGGCAGGTAAGCAAACATTGCACAACACTTTCTTAATGAAATTAACAATTTCTTTAGTTAGCATTCCCCTGGTTGCTGTAAGCTTGTTATTGGATTCCAGAATTCCAAAGAAGTTGATCTTTTTTTTTTTTTGCCAGCTTAATGGTTGGCTTTCCAACCATTTCCATAATCAGCTCAGTGGAAAGATTGAATTTTGGAGCACCATACGCCCATTTCCATGACCTCACACCCATATCTTAAAATGTTTTGTTTTTTTAATGTGTTTGTTTTAAGCCACTCCACAAAACAAACATTATCACACATATTCTGAGGATCAGGAATCAGGTTGTGGTTTGGCTAGAAGTCTCTTACGAGTTTATAATCAACTTGGCTGGCCGGGGCCGCGGTGTCTCAAAGCTCAACGAGGGCTGTATGATCCACTTCCAAGTTTAGTCACATGGTTGTTGGCAGGCCTCAGCTCCTACCTGGCTGTTGTCAAGAGGTTCCGTTCCACACCACATGGAACTTTCCATCGGGGTGCTTATATCATGACAGCTGACTTCCCTCAGAGTAAGAGTTGTGTGAGAGTGAGAGATTTGTTGTTGTTGTTGTTGTTATGTGCCTTCGAGTCGGTTCCGACCCATAGCGACCCTGTATAGGGTTTCCGAGGGTGTAAATCTTTACGGGAGTAGAAAGCCTCATCTTTCTCCCGCAGAGCAGCTGGTAGTTTCGAACCGCTCACCTTAAGGTTCGCAGCTCGATTCGTAACCACTACGCTACCAGGGTGAGAAATACTCCATCTTTAATATTTATATTCTCTTAGGCTCTTTGGTATACTATACTTTATGTAGCACTGAAATAATTGTACTCATACTGTGTAAGAGAGGGAAATTTGAACTGTTGATAATTTCTTAGCGAGAGAAATGAATTTGCTCTTGCCCAGAGGCATTGGCACTAAGTCCCCTATTCAGCTGTAGAAACCCATGGCCATCAAGTCGATGCTAACTCATAGCAACCCTGTGTAGGGTTTCCAAGATGGTAAACCTTTATGGGAGCCAACTGCCTCATCTTTCTCCCAAAGAGCAGCTGATGGGTTTGAACTGCCAGCCCTGCAGTTAGCAGTCCAGGGCTTGTACAGCACCACCAGGGCTCCTTACTTAGTCAGCGTTAGAGCTCGAAGTAAAAGATCCCAGGGAGCTTTTCACCAACTCCACAGAAGTGTGTTTTTCACATAGCTTTGAAATGGTACAAACCCTTCTAGTGTCTCTCATCCCTCCTCATTTCTCTCACATTCAAAGAGCCATGAAAACAAACATTCTGGTGTGCCTGTGAACTTAAAATTGTCACTATAAAGTGTTCCCGTTGTGTTCCTTTGTGGATGTGTTTGATGGTTGGTTTTGTGTCCTTCTTGGTTAAAAAGTGTGTGTATGAGAGAGAGAGAGAACTTGATTCTTTTGGCTGGTCATATTTCTCAAAAGTCAGCTCTTTCCTAAGTATGTGGTCTGCATGAGACACTGTACTAGGCTCAAAAGGAGTATAAAAATATCCAACAATCTCTGCTTTCAAGGAGCTTATCATTAAAAGGGGAAAATAAGGCATGACAAATGTAAAAATAAAATAACAAGGCAGCACCTGTGTCAGCTACAGAGCCAGAGCAATAGGTACCACAATGTTGAGGCATGTGCTTAGGTAATGTGCTCCATTAGGTAATGGAGCAAGTTGGAAAGCAGAAGGCGGATACAGAAGTGACCAGGAAAGAGAGTGAAAGGTCAGTGTGTTGCTGGTGTTTCAACACAGTGAAATGCTTCTTAGTGGTTTTAGAGGACTTTCGATGCCCTGCTTACAGGATTAAAGTCTTTAGTTTGGCTCCTACCCATCTATAATCAGACAATTTTAGTCACATTTATTTAATTACTCATTGGTACATGAAAAGACCATTAGCATCTTTTAAAAAGTTAGGCTTATACTTATAGTTTGATACCTGCTTTTCTAATATTATTTCTGTATTTACAAAGGGCTTCATAAAATGGATTAACCATAGAGTTGTGATAAGAATAGTAATGCAAGGTCAGTGTATCAGTTTGTAAGAGAACCGTTTGTGTCTGAAGAGGGTAATGCTGCTGGCGTTTCCTCTGTAAAGGAATGCTTCTGGAAGAAGGGACTTAGGCTAATCAGAATGCCTGTCTCTTGCGAGAGATGACTCTTCCTTGGCAATTGCATTTCTCTTCAATATCCTGGAAGTGAGAAGAGTTCTGCATCCTCTTTGATTATGAATGAAATTGTTGTGAAATAGAAGAACATGGACTTAAGATTCTTTCTACATCATTCAGATCGTCATCCTGTTGTGGGCTAGCTTGGGGAAGTTGCCGCACATCTAGCATGCAAGTCTTTATTAAAATCACAGAAATCAGAGAAAGAACCTATACTTCATTTCTATATAGAGGAATTAAATTATGGATTTTTCTTTTTGTACAATTGCATTTATTAGTTAATATTTATTCTACTTATGCAATTTAGTAGCAGTAACTAAGGTTTTCACTCTACTTTTTCCTCAAAAACAAAAAAACAAAACCCTTAAAGGTTAACTCCTTTCCTAATGTGTCTCCAATGTAAGTATATTCTCCTTTTCTTTCTTTTTGGCTACAGTTAAGCTATGGTTTGTTTTCATTCCTTTGATAAAAAAGATGACTTCTGAATTTTTATTTTGTTTTCCTCTCCTAGACAATTAAATCCCACACGGAAACTGATGAGAAGCAAACAGAGAGCCGTACCATCACCCCACCTGCTGCACCCAAACCAAAACGGGAAGAGAACCCTCAGGTAGGCCCACCCTCCCAAAGGCAGAAGTCAGTAGGTGGTATGTGCTTTCTTCTCACACATACTTGAGTTTCCTTGGACCCACAGAGCCTTTCCTTGTGCTTTCTTGTCTTTCAATAACATTATTGCCAAGACAGGGCTGCCTAGAGCCAATTTCTTAGGGTAGCCCTGAGGTTTCATAAGCAACTAGGTATACAACTATCTTGGTTATTTCAAAAGAAAAACTTTGAAATGACATTGTTCAGACAGCTTTGAACTATGACATTGATGATCATTTTCACAGCAATTACATTGCATTCCTCATGCGTACGGTGCTTGTTGTCCCTACCAGCACAAGTCAGGACTCCAGTTCATCCAGCTAATATTTATGTATGGTTTCCATTACAGTCATTGTCTGCAAACTTTTGTTGTTACAATTGTATTGCATTAGATCCCCAAATTCCAAATGAAGTAGTGCCTCAAAAGTCGTTCATTGAAGCATAAAAGTTAGGACAAGTATCATAACATCTGTGCTACAACTTCTTGTTGTTATTAAGTGTTGTCAAGTCAGTTCCGACCCATAGTGACCCTGTATAGGGTTTCTGAGGATCAGCTGGTGAGCTTGAACTGCTGACCTTGTAGTTCAAACCGACCTTGCAGTCCAGCGCATTTTAACCCACAGTGCTACACCAGGACTCCACTGATACAACTCAAGAGAGCATTATAACTATACACGGCAAACAAAGAATGTGAAGATGTATGTCCTTTGACAAGAGAATTACTTAGTGTGATGTTTTTGTACAAACAGATTGTTAAAATGTGGATAGGTAATATGATCTTGAATATCTGATTGTTGGATTTTATTAGACCAATAATCCATTCCTCTCTATCCCTAGTGCATTCTGTGTAATGAAACCCTGTCAAACAGTGGCATGAAGCCCTCAAAGCTTCATGTCATTTTATAACAGCAGTGATATATTGAGCCTGTCCAGGTTTTTCTGAAACAAGTACAAAATAAAATTCTTTCTGATATGAAGTAGATTAATTTTTTATTTTACTTGTAAAGAAGAGAACAAGATTTGAACCAAAAGCAAGTACTTTTGTTGTTGTTGTTGTTGTTGTTAGGTGCCATTGAGTTGAAACTGACTAATAGCAACCTTATGCACAACAGAATGAAACACTGCTTGGTCCTGGGCCAGCCTCCCAATTATTGTTGAGTTTGAGCCCACTGATGATACATATCACTGTGCGAATCTACCTTCTTGGGGCTCTTCATCTTTTCCGCTGACCCTCCACTTTACCTAGCATGTTGTTCTTCTCCAAGGATGGGTCTCTCCTGATAATATGTCCAAAGTATGAGAGACAGAGTCTGACCAGCGTGGCTTCTGAGAAGCACTCTGACTGTATTTCTTCCAACATAGATTTATTTGTTTTTCTGTCAGTCCATGGTACTTTTATAGTCCTTCTTATTCATTGTCCATCTTTTACATGCATATGTGGTTACTGAAAGTATCATGGCTTGGGTCAGGCACCCCTTAGTCCTCAAACTGACAACTTTGCTCTTGTACACTTTAAATAGGTCTTGTGCAGCACATCTGCCTAATGCAATATGTTATTTGATTTCTTGACTGTTGCTTCCATGAGTGTTGATAGTGGACCCAAGCCACATGCAATCTTTAATAACTTCAATCTCTTCTCTATTTATCCTGTTTTTTATTAGTACAGTGGTGAGAATTTTTATTTTCTTTGCATTGAGGTGCAACCCATATTTAAGACTGTGGTCTTTCATCACTAAATATGTTAAGTCCTCTTCACTTTCAGCAAACAAGATTTCTATCATCGGCATGTCACAGGTTGTTAATGAGTCTTCCTCCAATACTGATGCCACCTTCTTCTTATCATTCTGCTCATCAGATTCTCAGCATGAATTGCACATATTGAATAAGTATGGTGAAAGAATACAACCCTGGCAAACACCTTTCCTGATTTTTAAACCATTCAGTGTCCCCTTGTTTTGTTCCAACAGCTACCTCTTGGTCTGTGTACAAGTTCCTCATGAGAACAATTAAGTGTTCCAAAATACGCCTTCTCTACAATGTTGTCCATAGCTTGTCATGAGCTATACAACTTATTGCATAATCAAGAAAACACAGATAAACATCTTTCTGGTATTCTCTGCCTTCAGCCAAGATCCATCTGATGTCAGCAGTGATATATATTCCTCCTTCCACGTCCTCTACTGAATCTGGTTTGAGCCTCTGATGGTTCTCTGTCAATGTATTGTTACAGCCATTTAAAAAATTATCTTCAGCTAAATTTTGCTTGCATATGATATTAATATTTATTGTTTGATGATTTCCATGTTCTGTTGGGTCATCTTTCTTTTGAGTGAATGGGCACAAATATGAATCTCTTCCAGTCAGTTGGCCACCTGTCTTACAAATTTCTTGTCATAGATGAGTGAGTGCCTCCAATGCTGAATCAGTTTTTTGAAAGATTTCTATTTGTATTCTATCAACTCCCATGCCTTGTTCTTTGCCAATGCCTTCAGTGCACCTTGGATTTCTTCTTTCAGTACCATTGGCTCTTGATCATACGCTGTCTCTTGAAAAGGTTGAATATCTTCCATTTGTTTTTGGTACAGTGACTCTGTATTCCTTCTATCTTCTTTTGTTGCTTTCTGCATCATTCAATATTTTTTCCATAAAATCTTTCAATATTCCAAGTCAAGTCTTGAAATTTTTCCTTAGTTCTTTCAGTTGGAGAACTGTTGAGTATGTTCTTCCCTTTTGGTTTTCTAACTCCAGGTCTTTGCACATTTTATTATGATACTTGACTTTGTCTTCTCAAGCTGTCCTCTGAAATTTTCTGTTGAGCTCTTACTTTCTCATTTCATCCATTTACTGTAGCATTTCTATGCTGGAGAGCAAGTTTCAGAGTCTCTTGTAACATCCATTTAGGTCTTTTCATTCTTTCTTGTCTTCTTAATGATCTTTTGCTTTCAAGAGTACAATGTTCTTGATGTCATCCCACAGCTTTTTTAGTCTTCAGTCATTAGTGTCTAGTTCATCATATCTGTTCTTAAGATGATCTCTAAATTTAGGTGGAATATGTTCAAGGTCAAGTTTTGGCTCTTGTCAACTTGTTTTACTTTTCTTCAGCTTCAGACTGAACTTGCATATGAACAATTGATGGTCTGGTCCATATAGTCTGCCTCTGACCTTGTTTTGAGTGATGATGTAGAACTTTTCTACCATCTCTACTCCTTAGAAACCCTATTCAGGGTCACTATGAGTTGGAACCCCCTTAACAGCAAACAACAACCTTCCACAGCTGTTAAATGCCATGGAGTTGGTTCTGACTCAATAAGGGTTTTTAAGGAGCAGCTTCTGAATTTGAACCACTAACCCTGAGGTTCAAACCAACCTTAGTGAGGTCCATGTGTACAGTCATCTTTTATGTTGTTTGAAAAAGGGTATTTGCAATGAATAAGTCATTGGTTTTGCAAATTTCTATCATGTGATCTCCAGCAGTTTCTGTCAACAAGGCCATATTTTCCAACTACTCATCTTCCTCTTTGTTTCCAACCTTTGCATTTCAGTCACCAGTAATTGCCAATGCATCTTGATTGTATGTTTGATCAGTTTCAGACTGAAGAAGTTGGTTGTTGTGGTTGTGTGCCATCAAATTGGTTCTGACTCATAGAGTTTCCAAGGAGAGGCTGGTGAGCTTGAATCATCGACTTTGCGGTTCAAATAGACCTTGTAGTCCAGCGCATTAACCAGCAGCATCACATTCTTCAATTTCATCAGCACTGGTTTTAGTAGTTGGTGCATAAATTTGAATAATAATGGTATTAATTGGTCTTCCTTTTTGTTGTTGTTAGTGCTGTCCAGTCAGTTCTGACTCATAGTGACCTGTGTACAGAGTTTCTGAGGAACGACTGGTGAGTTTGAACCACTGACCTGGTGGTTCAAACAGACCTTGCAGTCCACTGCTTATCTTATAGTCCCACACCAGGACTCCCTGTCTTCCTTGTAGGCATATGGATATTAACGTATTGCAGACAGCAGGATACTTCAAGACAGATCTTACAGTGTTCTTTTTGATGATGAATGTGATGCTATTCCTCTTCAATTTGTCATTCCCAAATAGTAAACTATATGACTGTCAGATTCAAAATGGCCAGTACCAGTCTATTTAAGCTCACTAATGCCTAGAATATAAGGAGTTCTGGTAGTGTAGTGGTTACAAATCGGGCTGCAAACTGCAAGGTCAGCAGTTTGAAACTACCAGCTGTTCCATGGGAGAAAGATAAGGCTTTCTGCTCCCATAAAGATTTACAGTCTCGGAAACCCTGTACAGGGTCGCTGTGAGTCGGAACTGACTCCACAGCACATAACAACAACAACGCCTAGAATATAGATCTTTATGGGTTCCATTTCATTTTTGACAACTTCCAATTTTCTTAGTTTCATACTTTGTACATTCCATGTTTTGTTTGTTAGTAGATGTTTACAGTTGTTTCTCATCATTTTGAGATGTGCCCCATCAACATATGATGGTCCCAAAAGCTTTACTCCATTCATATCATCACGGTCAACTCTACTTTGAGGAGGCAGCTCTTCCCCAGTCGTATTTTGAGTGCCTTCCAACCTGAGGGGCTCATTTTCCAGCACTGTGTCTGATAATATTCTGATGCTCTTCATCATCATTTACTATTCAATACTCTGGTGCTGTGTAATAGTGTTTCACCGCTATTCATGGAGTTTACAGTGGCTAAACATTCAGATGTACTTCTTTTTCTTCCTAGTGTGTCGTAGTCTTGAAGTGCCACTGAAACCTGTCCACAGGTGACCCTGCCATGATTTAAAATACTGATGGCATAGCTTTCAGCATCACAGCAACATGCAACCCACTACAGAACGACAAACTGACAGACAAGTGGTAGAAAACAAGTACTAGTCACACCAATTGCTGAAAAACTTGTATGGCCATCCATGAAATTAATCACTGTTATACTT